AGAGAGAGAGAGAGAGAGAGAGAGAGAGAGAGAGAGAGAGAGAGAGAGAGAGAGAGAGAGAGAGAGAGAGAGAGAGAGAGAGAGAGAGAGAGAGAGAGAGAGAGAGAGAGAGAGAGAGAAGAGAGAGAGGAGAGAGAGAGAGAGAGATGTGCGTGCGTGCGTGCGTGCGTGTGCGTGTGTGTGGTGGTGCGTGGTGTTGTGTGTGTGTGTGTGTGGGTGTGTGTGTGTGTGTGTGTGGTGTGTGTGTGTGGGTGTGTGTGCGTGTGGTGCGTGTGCGTGTGTGTGCGTGTGCGTGTGCGGTGCGTGTGCGTGTGCGTGTGTGGTGGGTGTGGGTGTGTGTGTGCGTGTGGACTTGCCGACTTGGTGGATGAGGTCGGCGACAAAAAGTATATTTTCACGCGACGCTTGGTGCCAAAACTCCCTTTGGCCAACAGTTGTCGTGAAGACCACGACAAAACATTACAGTGCACGTTCTATAACCATACATGCGTTTAAATGTTGATATGCTTAACCCCACAGCACCAATAAGCCTTTCCGTAAATACCCTTTATCGTGCCCTGTGGTACCCTATGGTACCCCACGGTGTTTTTCTTAGCATTCATTCCAAGCCGGCGACAAAAAGATACTATGATTTTTAGTTGGTCGCTCCCTTCTGTGACATGTCGGTAATAAATCAGTGTGTTTCTCTATGGCCCGGCTGGTTTGCCAATTCGCTGTTTTTGGCAGCCGACACTCAGTGTCCCAAACTAGACAGTAGAAAATACTGAATAATATCTAGATATGGCGATTTATTTGCCGCAAGAACATGTTTCAATTGTTGCAATGTTACCAAGATATGTAAGGTTGGCGGTGACTTTCAATGTACTGGGACACTGGATATGGAAGGTTTGCGGTGACTTTCGATGCACTGGGGCCGCGTTCACACTGCAGTTTTATGAATATTTATCCAGGGTTTGTTTTGGGGAATGTTGACTTAATTGCTTGAGAGTTCAGGGAAAATCGGCAAGATGATCCAAGCAAAGTAAAAATTGGCCTGTGCTTATTCAGACTAATTGTTCAAGACACCAAAAGGCTGTTGACTCACCGTAGCAGTCCCAAGCACTGAACCTTCCTCCCTTTGAAGAGAACAGTGGGTTCGGCGCTGAGGGATGATGACACTCCTCAGAGAAGGGAATAACGGGAGGTGAGAGTGGTTCTGAAGAGACAATTCATGATACCGTTGCTTTGTTCCTGATTGAGGATGGTTACCAGTCAAATAGATCTTCAGATCAGAGTATGTATCTAGCTCCTGTTCCATTCAGGCCTCCAGCTCTCCCCTCCCTCGTTTGTAAAGAAGTGTACCAAATATGGGGAGACTGGCATATCTTTGGGAAGACTGCATAGCTGTTCATTGCTCCGCCCTCCCTCCTGTATTTGAAACTATGCCTCTTCTTGAAACGCAATCATTTTATTAATGTTTTGTTAGCATTGGAATGACAAGGATTCCCAGTTCAACCTTTTACCAATACTAATCTTGACTAATGGAAGTTGATATGACAGCCGATAATGCTGGCAGTGAGGAGGCAATGAAGGATGAGGAGTAAGGAAGTGCAGAAAATGTAGGCAATGAGGAGGAGAGAGTTGGGGTTTCATTGCCATTTCCCCTTCACCAAAAGTTTAGTTTAAACAGACAAGATGGTTTTGTGGGATCGTGGTCTTATTATCACAGGAGTTCAGTAAAAAAGAAATTGACATTAAGGCTCACTCTGAGAGCAGTTTTGTGTATTTGATGATGATAGCACCCCTATTGTAAAAGGAAAGGGTAGAAGTGAGTCATTCTGCAGTCCTCATTCATTTCCATAAGGTATGTGCACCTTTGCACCAGTCAGCATGCCATTTGCCTACATGCAAATGTAATATATTTCATTCTTGTGTTTGCTAACATTGAAGTGAATAATTTTCTTTCTGATGGAGCACTGAATACAATTACTATTTGTATTAAGTGCAGATTGTGAGGGAGAACAGCATAGCTTAAATACAGTCCACACTGGTAGAAAACAATAGTGATTTGTCTGGTTGTGGCATCATGTCAGGGGTGTCAAGTTTTCATGCATGGTGAGGGGAGGGGGTAGCAAGCTGTGGACCTCACAACCTCCCCTATCCTAAATATGCTGTCAACTGATTGAGTCTGCTTTGTGTCGGTTGCATGTAATTTCTATTTGTTTCTTGTTTTGTCTTACTTTTTATGTGAGCAGCATTGTGGTCATGGCCAAGCAATAATCCCCCAAAAATAGACTTTGTGTTATAGTTGCTATTATTCAGCTATTTTGTAATCTCCCAGCCAGAAGTATTGGGGGGATGCTAGCATTGAGGGGGCCCAAATCAACATTGGCGTGGGGCAGGACCCCCAAAATAACTTGAAATTTACACTCCTATATCATGCATGGCAGGTGCCATAAGTGTGCTTACATTTGTTCATTAACCAAGTGTGCAAAGAGCTATTTTGTCTTCCTGATTCAATCAGTACCAATATCTGCATGCTGGTAATGACGTGTTATTCTGATGTACCGGCTTGATTGTTCCTATGGTCTGAAATGTGGATTTTTACAACAGCGCGTGTAAATTAATTAAAATAGATGGTATCCTTATCCTGACACGGCGTTTTTTATGACACGGATTGAGAGGAGGGATGATATCCCTGCCATTCCCAAACTAAGGAAGGTAGAGCGTCACTTAAACAAAACAAGGATGTATTCTTTTCAGCGAGACCTTGCCTGTTGTCACAAGTTTTATGCTGCCACTTCACTCCACTAGACCGAGTCAATGGTCAAATGTTCCTGAAAATCAGACTAGTTCACCTTTGCATGTATGCGATCATATCGCGTGGCGATATGGATTTAAAAGAGTATACTCTGTTTATTTTCAGTGCAACAGGATGTAGTTTTAGCTGTTTTAAGCATGCGTTTAAAATGTTGGGCTCCATTAATATAACAGCGCCCGGCCTACGCGCGAGGTTCGTAGTGTCATAGGTTGTCCGCGGCGGCCTTGCATCGCCGCGCAGTGCTCCTAAAAACCGTCGCTTATGAGGAGCCATATATGCTTGAAACACGTTTTCGTTATCAAAACACATGCAATGAATGTTCCAGTGGCGACAAAAAAAAATGGGGGCGACAGCACAACCTGCTGGACTTGTATCCTCAGACACCTTAGGGGGGGGGGGGGGGGGGGGGCTAGCATCGGCTCCCCAGATGAAGCCGAACGTTAGCATGTTGTTCAAAAAGAACTGGCAGGCTCATGTGAAGTTATCGAAAAAATCCCAGCCAATTCCCCTCTTTGTAGCAGCTGTTGCGTGACAAATGTTTGCATTAGCAACATAAATACCTGTTTTAATGACGGCTGACTGGGGTAGCCTGGCCTAACCTCAACTGATTGCACTGGGTCGTTTAAGTCACCTAAGCTGTCATCTGGCTATTGAGGGCCCTATCACCGGAGTGATTTAGTCATCTTCAAAGCCCTCTGAACACTTGTGGTCTTCTTAACTGCTCGGAGTTCTTTTGGCCACTGGGAGGCTCCTCCATCATCCAAGAGCCCTTCTCGCTGCTCGATGGACTCCCTGGCCGGTCAGAGGCGTTCTGGTCACTCAGGAGTTCAGTAAATGTCCAAGGCTACCTGCCAGCTTAGCGTTCCTCTTGCCGCTCAGTGGCCTTGCCCTTAAAGGGACCATTTTGGCCACTAAGCAATTTTCCAGTCACTGGCATGTCTTTCTGGCTGCTCAGGGTTCTCACTGAAATAGCTGTCAGGACCATCCTGCCACGACTGAGGTCATGGCCAGCGATCGTGTGGGACATGGGGTGAGGGCGAGGGTAGGC